GTTAATGATATAGGAACCTGTAGTTGCTTTAAAACACAAAAATAATTCTAAAAGGTTAACGATATAGGAACCTGTAGTTGCTTTAAAACACAAAGATAATTCTAAAAGGTTAACGATATAGGAACCTGTAGTTGCTTTAAAACACAAAGATAATTCTAAAAGGTTAACGATATAGGAACCTGTAGTTGCTTTAAAACACAAAAATAATTCTAAAAGGTTAACGATATAGGAACCTGTAGTTGCTTTAAAACACAAAAATACTTCTAAAAGGTTAACGATATACGAACCTGTAATTGCTTTAAAATAGAAAAATACTTCTAAAAGATTAACGATATACGAACCTGTAATTGCTTTAAAATACAAAAAATACTTCTAAAAGATTAATGATATAGGAACCTGTAGTTGCTTTAAGATACAAAAAATACTTCTAAAAAGATAGTGATATAGGAACCCGTAGTTGTTTTAAAATACAAGAATACTTCTTAAAGGTGAAAGATTTAAGAACTTTGTTTCTTGGTCTAGTGAAGTTTTTTCGACGGAGACGTTCAACAACTTATTCTTCTTCAAGTTTTTGAAATATCTTTTACATTTTCAAAGTGGATTTTGACCATCAGGTATCAGTCTTATTTAATTGGGTTGTATTTTTGTATTTCTTTCACTGATGCTGAATTGCCTTAATGAAACATTGTAATTTCTATTATTCTTATTCTAAACGTTGTATTTCATTTGTAGAAACTTTTAAAAGCACTTATTTGCTCGTTATACTTCTTTTTTGAAGTTACATAAAATGTTTTGAGCCTGGTTTGTTTATTTATTGAAGTTCGTGCAAAGCCACTAAAGTACTACCAGCGCTAGTTGTCCTCAACTGTGATAGACTAGAGGAAAAACAACTGGCCGACAGCACCTACCAACAACTCTTGGACTACTTTTTTACCAACGATCGTCATTTTTAACGCCCTCCATATCTGAAAAAGCGACTAAATCCAGTGCCAAGTTTCGATCCTCCAACCTTCAGACTGTAAGTCAAGCGCCCTACCACGAGGCTATGAGGCAGCACTATATTGCCACTATACACTGGTAAAGGAGTAGCCATAGAAGTGGCGAGAAAGTGTTGGCAGCAGGGTGCATTCCCTTTCTTATGTTATGTGGCCTGGTGGTTAGGGCGCTCGATTCGTAATTTGCGGGTTCGAATTCCCGTCATATCGAACATGTTCGCCCTTTCAGCCGTGGGGGCGTTATTATTTGACGGTCAATCCAACTATTCGTTGCTAAAAGAGCAGCCCAAGGGTTAGCGATGGGCGGTGTTGACTAGTCTATCACTGCTAAATTAGAGACGGCTAGCGTGTAGCTTTGTGCGAAATTCAAAACCAACCAAACAAAACAAATTAACAGTTGTGGAGCAACATTATATCTTTAGCTTTGAAGTTTTTGATCTACAATCTCGTACCCTAGCCACGAAACTAACCCCGGCCCAGAGAAAAGGAGAAGTAAAAACTTTACCTGAGAATTTTGGTATCTTCCCAAAAATGCACTTTCCATGTACAGAAAATGCTTAGAGATGTTTTGTTTGTTTGACTGGCTTATGGCAAAGCTACTATGGCTATCTTTCGCCGTCCCTAACAATAAGTAATGAAGTTTAGGAGAGAGTAAAATCTAAATTCGGTCACAAAGAAGCTATAAAGGCAGAAGAAGCCGGTCGGAGTAATGATGATCAAAGAAGATTATCGAAACTAGAGGTAGAAACTACAAAAACCTGGTCGGGTGATGTAAAAATAGTTTCACAGGAAACTCAATTATAAACTAATATCGTTCGATAATGGTTTAAAATCATAGAATATTCAGAATCAGCTGTAATGTTAGAAAAAATGTTAGTAAAACCCAGGAACAGACGAAGGCCAGAAAATGTGTCCTTATGCATTTGGCTCTAACTAGACAGTGGTTTGAGTGTAGTGTTTGGCAAACATATGAGTGAATCGCAAAGTCTTTAGTGACTGGGGTAGTTTGAATTAAATATGAAGTACAAGTCAGTTAAGTTGAGGCACAATTCACGATGCTGATGTAAGTAGCAGCTGTAGAGTCTGTGATATAAGCTTCAGTTACAGGAGCAATGGTAGAGTCCCCATACAATAAACGTTGTAATAAAATTTTACTGATGAGTTGAATTGATAAAAGTCAAAAAAGGCAGTAGATATTTTGAAGAGGAAATAAGATGAACTTTATTGTAGTGTGATTTCTGTTATTTTAAATTACTTGGTAGCTTGGCAAGGAAAAACACAAACATAACTAGTCACTGTTCCTCTGGATTTTAAAGTGGTACAATAAACAGCTTCTATCGGTGCAGAAATTATGTGAGTCCTCATAATGTAGGATAAAACTGGACTGATGACGACCTGTATTAGCAGGTGGATTGAAATTACCTATAACTGGCCTCAACTGTAATAAACATTTATGATCAACATTGTTTGCCACACTAGAGAAAGACAACACCTTTGCCAAAACGTCGAGTGAACTGAAATACTATGTTAAC